GTTGTCAGTAAGGTGTTTGTAGGGTGTCAGTAGGGTGTTGGTAGGTTGTCAGTAGGGTGTTTGTAGGTGGCCAGTAAGGTGTTTGTAGGTGGCCAGTAAGGTGTTGGTAGGTCGTTTATTGGTTGTCTGTAGGTTGTTGTTAGGTTGTCAGTAAGATGCATTCATAGGTTGCTGGTAGGTTACTAGTACTAAGGTTGTTGGTAGGTTGTTGCTCTGTTATCGTTAGGTCAACTGTTGATAGAGTACTATTGCCAAAAAAAATATTTAAGAAAGTCCTTAAATTATTTCCAGGAAGAAAAGTGGTATTCTGCAGCATTGAAAGAAGAGGTCGAAAAAATCAYGAAAGAGAACAATGAACTGCAGCAGAAATGTCAACAGCATGAAAAGGTGAATATTGATTTTTGGACCTGATTGTATTATTCTGTCGCATTCCTTTTTATGTGACTATGTAATATATAGTTAATCTTAGTGTATTATACAGAGAATATTACATGGGCGCGCGGAGATACGAATTTTATGTTTGGGTGTTCAATTGATATCTCACGAGTGAGCGCAGCAAACGAGTGAGACATCTAAATTGAACACAAGAAGATAAAATTCGTATCTCCAAACGGCCATGTAATGTTCTGTTTATCATATGATATCATGAAGATATCAATGAAACTTAAATGAAACAAAAGCTCAAAAATTCTTTATTAAAATATGTTACTATGTCAACAGCGATATCTTCACGTGTGAAAGATATGGTATCTTCCACTGGTGAAAGATATCAAGTTTTTGACACTGGAGAAAACTTGGTATTTCATCGATATCTATGTAATACATTTTATTATTCCCAACTGTAGGATCAATCATCTAAGTTTTCTTTTGAGAAACTACTCGCCTGAGGCCATTTTAAAGGCTGGGTTGCAATTTCTTTTTATAACTTACAGCACAATGCACACATTTTGATGTGAAACTGGCTGGTTTTACCAAATGGCAACACTTTTGCATGTTGCGCTGTAAAAGTTCTGGTGCCCTTGCTGTGTCAAAATTACTAAAGATATTTTCAGAAAAAGTGAATTAAACATCTTTTATTCAGGAAAAAGAAGAAATGGAAGAAACCTTTTCGAAGAAATTAATGGAAGAGAAAGAGAATAATGTGAAATGTAAGATTTATTATTTAGTTTGTAATTTCTATGATTTAGTGACAATGATTTGTATGAAACATTTGAAAAATATTATGTGTTATCAAAAAAATGTTTTAACAGCAATGGCAGAGTTTGCACAACTGAAAGTGGAGTTAGCTAAAGCTGTAGAAGAACGCACAGGCACTGCAAGTGAACAGAAGAGCACAGCTTTGAGAGAATCTCAACTGGTTTGTGTTAACTGCAGTAATTACAATTGGGATAGAATGGGATAGAATGGGATGGGGTGGGATGGGAAGGGAGGGAATGGGATGGGATGGGATGGAAGAGTATGAAATGGTATTGGATGGGAGGTAATACCATAGGTTGGGTTGGGATGGGAAGAGTTGGAGGGGTAGACACGAATGAAAAACGTCTGCGCATGCTCTGAATCCGTATGCAAATTAGTCAAATCATGAGTAAATTTGACTTTCAAACATGCCTGATAAATTGGACTTCACAAAATGCCAAAACTTAGTGTCCATGCTTGAAACTTAAGGCTAATTCTTTCATATTGTGTTAATTAATACAGTATCGTGGTCTAACAAAACTATACTTGAGAAACTGTTTGTATGCTTGGAGAAAACAAACATTACTATTCCCACTCGAACTCTTCAAAATTCTTAGAAAATGTGCTGAAATGCATGCATGTACGAACGTTTTTCTCTAGTGTCGGAGGGGTATGGATATGGGTATGGGTTGGGATAGGATGGGATGGGATGGAATGGGGGGTAGAGGGGTAAGTTGTAATCTCCACAATTTCTAAAACATTAGCACAACTCCACCCTACTCTAAAACATTTTCCCCCTTACAGGCAATGGAAAATGCTGGTCTAAAGGCAAAACTAGAGGAAGAGAAGGCATGGCGCACTTCATATGAAGAGGAGATCAGTAGACTCAAAGTAGGTGTATGATTAAGTAAGATGTATATTAGTTAGGAATTAACCTGTATGTGCATGTGTTCATCATTTTAGGAACAGTTGGAGGACAGGACCAAGTTGAATGAAAATCTTGAAAACCAGCTATCCCAAAGGTAGTGTAAGCTCCTACTGATATAGAACCTTAATACAGAGAATACCAAGGAGTCTGTGGTATTCTGTGCAATTATGGAGGACTTCAATGATACGGCAGCCATCTTTTTGGTGGGGGCAAAACAAAACAAARATGACAGAAAATATATAGRGTTTCATGTGTTTGTCTTTCTTTTATGGGTAAAGGTGATCAATGTGTCCTCTTAATTCGTCTTTCTTTGTATTCTCTTGTGGTGAGCTGTTAATATCAATTAACATTAATACTGTAAGAAAGCCTGGACACCTTGAAAGCCTGAAAGCCTTTTCCACCTGGACACCCCATAATATCTTTCAATCAAATATGGCCGCCATAAAGTCAAAGGACATGTAGTCTATTGAGCAACGAGTGATCAAATCTGAGTATTCTCTCATTATTTTTCCATGTCTTCTTTACAGACCCTCGGGTACTGAAGTAGTTGATCTTCAAAACGAGATCTCTTCCCTACAACAACATATATCAGCTCTGAGATCAGAGAAAGATGAAGAACAAAAACAATGGCAGGACAAGTATAACACCTCCTTACAACAGATCAACAAGTAAGTTTATTGTAGCTTTCTTTGATTTCTATTCTGGGGGGGGGGGGGGGGG